TAAGGACAAGACAAAAAAAAAAAGAGTGAGATGTTTTGCATTTCCAGCCATGTGCTAGCTTTATTGTTGTTAACTGCCTCCGCGTCACTCTTACCCCATGACATCTCCAGGCTCCTCTGTCCTCTACTGCTCTGCTCAGCTCCTGCAAACTCATATTCGTGGTCTCTTTAATAAAGTCCATCAATCTAGCATGTGACCTTCCTTCTTTCTACTTCTCTCCACCTTTCCTAACATTATTGTATTTTCCAACAATTCATGCCTTCTCATTATGTGTCCAAAGTATGACAGTCTAAGTCTTGTCATCTTGGCTTCTAGGGATATTTCTGGCTTGATCTGCTCTATGACCCATTTGTTTGTCCTTCTGGCTGCCCATGGGATCCTCAGCACTCTTAGCTAGCACCACATCTCAAATGAGTTGATTTTCCTCCTATCTTCTTTCTTGATTGTCCAGCTCTCACATCCATACATGGTAATAGGGAATAAAATGGCTTGTGTGATTCTGACTTTTGTGCTGAGATGTATGTCTTTGCATTTTAGGATCTTTTCTAGCTCTTTCATAGCTGCCCTCCCCATTTTTAATGTGCTGTTTTGTCTGTGCTGATATATCCTCAGACAGCCAAAAGGAATGCATATTATTTCACCAAAAGGAAGTCATTATGTCAAGACTTAAGTTAGTAAAGCATACTGCTAAGAACGTGCAACACAATGCCTGTGTTGTATTAGGATTCTCCCTTTCTCCAAAGATAGAAATTTTATCAATTAGAATATACTTCATGGGTTCAGGAATTTAGCTTACTTCATAAGAATGCTTACTTCAAAAATGTTAAAGCAAAGAGTAGAGTGGTTCAGACCCAATGCCACTGCAACACTGAATCGTGGTCCAGGAAAAATCCAAACCTGTTACCAATAATAAATTGCTGCTGGGTGTCCTGACAATGCCACATAATGACCTCAATGTTTACAAAGGGCTTAGTGTGTGTTTTTCCCCCTGTGCAAAGAAGCTTGTTTTTCCAGTTGCACAGCAAATGTGTATAAGCTAATCCCTTGTCACAGAGTCTTTCATAATAGGCATCACCCTTGACTTAGCTAATAACTATGTAGCCCTAATACCTTTGATTCCTTATCTTTCTTGCTTGTGCTGGTAGACTGAATCTGAAAGGCAACTCAAACAAAAGATGGAACTAGAACGCAGCATCAAAAGGAGGACAAGTCAAAGATGTCCTAGGTCATTCATTTATAAAAGCAACTGTTTCCACACAAGAGTTTTGCCTCGGAATCCTAAAAGACAATGTACACAAAGGAATTGAGATCACAAAGTTCTTCTTCCAAGCTTTCCAAATTTCAAGGCTGCTTAGTTGTATATTAGAAAGTACTATGTCAGCTCCCTAGTGATTGGCTATGTGTGCAATCCTACCCACATCCTCTGAGAAGTAAACACTCAAAGAGCTCCATGAGGTTGACTCCCAGAAAAGTTTGAACAGGCTTGATGTATGAGACTGAACAATAAAGTAATTTAGGAAGTCTACAGCTTGAATAATGGGATGCAGTGGTTCAAGTGGTTAAGACGCTGACTCTGTTGATTGCAAGATTTGCAGGTTGGCAGTTCGAGGCCCAGGTGCTGCATGATGGGGTGAGTTTCTGTCACTAGTTCCAGCTTCTGCCAACTTAGCAGTTCAAAAGTATGCAAATGCAAGTAGATAAATAGGTAACACGTCGGTGTGAAGGTAAACAGTGTTCTGTGCAATCATGCTGGCCATATGATCACAGAGTAGTCTCTGACGACGCTGGCTCTTCGGCCTAGTAACAGAGATGAGCACTGTGCCCCCTATGATCGGACACAACTTGACAACCTTGTCATTGGGAAATACCTTTAACCTTTATAGATTGAATAGCGTTTCCATTGCCTTAGCCTTAGGTAAGCCATTATTGATTAACAATTAACATTAACAATTCCCACACCCATGATCTAGAGATAATAATACTACACTTGATCTTAGCCAAAAGGCCGAGAAACAATGATCTAGAGATAATAATGACCTGCCCCACAGGGTTAATGTAAGGACTACAAAATAATGGCTTGGATCCTAAACTTCCTTTCACAAACATAATGAAGTTCATTCTTTCACACCTCCCTTTAGCAGCCCTGTGCCCCAATCCATCCAAATTTGCTCCTAAAGGGTTACTGGGAGCATTGTGTGTGGTGGGGCTTCAGAATGGAGAATGTTTGTGGAAATTATTCTCTCTTTACATGGGCAGAGGGGGAGTCAATATTTGTGGAACATGGGAATGTGCTGCATAGTTCTAATGATTACAGTTACTGTTATTTTTGTTAGACAATGAGCTAATTATTCTAAATACAGATTTTAAAATTGAGATTTCATAATATTTAAGATTATAATCAACATTTGGCAATGCTACAGAACATGATTCCATGTACTTCTGATATTGAACCATTTTCATTTTCATTTTCATATGCAAAAACAAACTTCTGTTCTTGCATATGCAAGAACAAAAAAAAAAATATCTTACCACTGGGGCATGTCTACATGGGACAAATGAAGCAGTTTCCCCTCAACATCACAATAACCTGTCTTCATGATACAAAGCCAAATCCCTGATTTGAGTACAGACAGTCTTCATGATGTTCTGCACCAAATCCACCCTGTCCCTCCTTTAAACTAGTTTTACAAAAATTACCTTTTGCTCTGGATTTTGCAGAAAATCTGGAGCACTATGTAGTAATGTCTGGCAGGTCTCTACACACACATCACCTGCTGTGTTGCCAGGCACCACTGCTGCTGGCATGAGTCACTCCCACTGAGCTATCAGACCAACGCTGGGCACCTTGCTTCATCAGAGGGAACAACCTGCGCCAGCAGCAGCTATCCTGTGTGACATAGTGAGGACATGTGTGTGTAGACAGCTGGCCAGCATCACTATGCATGCAAAAGTGATGAAGGGAAGCTGGAGCAGCTCCAGGAGCCTGGAGTATTCTAGGCAGTGTAGATGAGCTCTGGGAGAGATTATGAGAGGTTTTGTGCCTTTTTAATGATTTTGGGGGAAAATATTTAATTTATTTTTGCAAATAATAATAATAAATTTTATTTATAACCCGCCCCTCTGCTTGGCAATCAGGGCGGCTTATAGCAAGTTAAAATGTACAACAATTAAAACATTCCGACTCCCCACGCCCTCCACCCCCACCCCCACCCCTTAAAACTAAATTAAACTATTGCGGAATAAAAATTAAATTAGTCATAAAATACAAACAAAACCAATTAGCAAACATGTCATGGCAGCCAGAAGTAAGAGCAGCTTCATAAGATATTTCATGGACAGCTTTTTTTCCATTTTTGGACTTTTTAGCAAAAACTTTGTGATGTTTCCTTTTGCACAAAAGTGTTTACACACAAAAAAGGAGGTAAAAACTCCAATATATTTTGCAAAACATTTTTTGCAAACAAAGAAAAATGAAAGAAAGAAATCCTTTGCAAAAATTTTGGGAAACAAAGGGCTCAAGAAACATCTTATGGTGCACATTTTTCAACTAGGGTGTTCAGATGTGTGGAGACATATTTCCCACTGAAGACAAGAACAAATTTGAATTTCCTTTACATCTTTACATCAGTAAACACAGAAATAATTGTATCAGCAATAAATAACTGAATTTAATGCACCTCTAACTCCCCCTTCCCACCTCACCTCCCGTTCATCATGAACAACAAGAAATTTCCTTGTAGGTACAAAATGGGTGCTTTCAGTCTGAACAGTCACAATACCTGAAACATAATACAGGAACAGTATTTACCACAGCAATGGAGAATGACACCTCAGGCAACCAAAACAGAATAATTTCCCAATCTTGAGATGTCATCTGAAAGGGCCAAGATGTTTCTCCTCCAGATTTGTGATTAATGATTCAACTTGCCTCCCAGGAGTCTGGTTTCTATCCTAGCTGCTGATGTGTCATAGACTTGCTGGAGGTCTAGAGAAATATGCATAACTAACATTTTCTTTTTAAAATGAACTGCTCATATCCATGATATACCAGGTAGTGTCACTACAGAACATAAGCATTGTGTTTGAGCTGGAACTAACATGTACATTGCTCCACTTTATATGTTACCAGAGCTGCCTTTTGTCACCAATCTGCAATATAAAAAGCCACTTCTTAAGCAAAGTGTGAGGCTTAGCAGACTCCTGTTCTATGCCACAGTACAACTGGCCTTTCCAATGTTCTTACTACAGAGTGCATACAGCACTGTCTGATATAGAGGGTGTACTTTCTTGTTGTTGTTGTTTCTGACTTATGGCAACCCCAAGACAAACCTATCACGGGGTTTTCTTTGACATTTACTCAGAAGACCATTGGTTTGTTTTCCTCTGCAATTGAGAAAGTGTGACTTGCCCAAGGTCACCCAGTAGGTTTCCATGGCCAAACAAAGATTGGAATTCAAGTCTCCAGAGTCATAGTCCAATGCTCAAACTACCACATCACACTTGCTCTCAGGGTATACTTACACATCCTATATAAGCAGGAGAGACTTAGGAAGGTCAGGTTTCTGTAAATTTATTTTGTTTACTCTGCTATACGAGTATTCAGCAACATATTAACTATGAATATCAAATTCCAGTAGGATGAAGTTCAGCAGCTCAAAGGCAGAGGGGCAAATGGAAATCCAGAATTCTGAGTGATGCAGCAAAGGCTTCTGAAGTGTTGTCCAAAGGAGGGGGAGGATTTGAGCTCCACTTCACAGCAGAAAAATGGGTGAGTGTCATCTGCATCTGAGCCATTGTCCTTAAAATGACATACTGTCACCTCAGGCAACTTTTCTCCCTATTACTCCTCATTGCTAACCTCTATGCTCTTTCAGATGGCAGAAAAACTTTCCTCATAAAACTGATGTTCAGCCTGCATCCTGAATTTTGATCCTTGTATTCTGTTAAGAATTAATCTCCTGAATTACATTTTTTTAAAAAAATGTATGTTAATTCTGAGAGCCAGAGTGGTGCAGTGGTTTGAGCACTGGACTACAACTCTGGAGACCAGGGTTCAATTCCCTCTTAGTCATGGAAATGCACTGGTTGACCATAGGCTAGTCACACATTCTCGGCCTCAAACAAATCTTGCCAAGAAAACCTTGTAATAGGGTCACCATGAATTAGAAAAAGTAAATTGGAAATAAATTGAAGGCACATAACAACAACAACATGTGCATTCTGCCTATTCGATTTTACTTTGCACTGCCTTAAACTTCTTGTAGAGAAAGGGAGATGATCAGCTTTTAAGTAAATAAATGAAATACATGTTAGAAAGGTGGTTTTTTTTTTTAAAAAAAAAAACACCACCAATATGCCCACACTAACTGCTTTGTCTTCAAGATGCAGAATAACTCTCAAGTGCTTGAGAGCATGCTTATCAGCGAGTCAAATTTAGCTATTATCTTAAAATAGCTAAAGGAACTACAAGCCATAAGGAAGTCTGCTGGAGCATTTCCCACTGTGCCAGGCTCATTCACGCATTAGGCTGGCAACATTCTACCATCAATAAATGATATGCTCAAGGCCAGCTCTAAATTTTACAGTACTTGGCATAAAACAGCGCAAAAAGAAAAATCCCTGTGTTTTTCTGCAGGTGGGCTCAACACTGCAATGTCTTCTGTTTGTTCACTCCTTGTCTAGCATCTCCATGACAGTGTTCAAAATTTTTAAAAGATACAGGAATTCTCAAGGCACTGTCAACTTGTGGTAAAGATAAGACTATGGTGCCCATGACAATTCAGGAAGCATGCATGGGCTTTGAATTCCATATGTTTTTGTCTTGAGTTTTCATATGGAGTGGATTTTATGGATTTTACCAAGATGAGCAATGAAATAGAAACCAGCAAGTTAAGAATTTACTGCAGGACCAAGGACAGCAACTAGACAGCTCCAGTAGAGTGCAGCTGGGCCCTCCAGTGAAAGTAGTGATGTTCTTCAAATCAAGCCGGACCCCCATGTGCCAGCTGGAGGGGACATAAACAGAGGCAGAACCTTGGCCTATAGTCCTGACTCTAGCAACGCTGAACACTTTCCTCAGCTATCTTCTACACCTTTCAGATGGAGGTTCACTAGAACAGTTGGTGAGTTTCTAAAAAAAGAGATTTGCATTTTCTTCTGTGGCCTTACACATTACACTTGTATACCACTATGATTCCACTTCGACTGCCATGGCAATATCCTATGGAATCCTAGGATTTGTAGTTTATGGAGGCACAGTTAGAATTCTCAGCTAGAGAGCTCCAGTGGAGCATCACCAAACTACAAATCCCAAGATTCCACAGAATGGAACCATGGCAGTTAAAATGGAATGACAGCAGTATAACTGTGTAACATCAAAGAACTCCTAGTGTCACTGCCCTATGCTGAGGGCAGGGTGTGGGAAGAGGAAATCCCCTCAGAATCCAATGCCCTTGGGATCTAGGTTTATGTGAGATCTAGAGTAGCCCCTTTCTTGACTACAGCTCCTCTAATTCTCTAGCCAGTCAGTGGACATACTGGTTGAGGAGGTCTGCAAACTGTAAGGTAAGTTTTCCAAGCTTTTGTTGCTCAGAATTTGAGTCACAGAAGGGGCGAATCCCTTCCCTCCTTTCCCTGACACAACCTCTGTATTGTTTTCAAGGAGGTAAAGGGCATGCCATGTAGATGAGGATGGGGAAGACCAGTTCTGCTATCCCAGTTGCATGTGCCAAGGTCTGGGTTACCCCCTTTGTATAAAACTGGATATTCATTTTATAAAATTCTAAACAAAATGGATTAATAGGTACATGAACAGCAACTAACCTCTGAGGGCTTCTTCTCCTTCTGCCTTGACCAGCCAGCCTTTGCATTTGGAATCCTGGAGCATCTTGAAGCTGATGTTGTCTGACCTTCAGGGGAAAACACAAAGAAAAAATATGTTAAATTAGGGGGGAAGGTCTAATTACAGTCTAATTTGTTGGCTAGAGCATAAAACACAAGCACACACACACACACACACACACACAAAACCTTCGAAAGTCCCAGCTAGCCACATTTTCACCATGGCACATTTATATATGCAGGCAACAGTTAAATACAACTTGGGGTTGAAAATTTACCAATATGATAAATTTTTCGATTATGGTCCAAATGAAAGGGTTTTACCTTTGTCGGAAGGTAGAGACTTCAAAGAGTTAAGTCCCAGTCCATTCGCTCCCTCTTGTTATAGTAAAGTAATGTCTTATTAAAGTAAACAGAAATAACATCTGAGACAAAATGTAGACTGGTGCCTCTCTTTTCTCTTCCTCTATGATTTTAAACATTTTTGCCTGATGACAAAGCCAGTGAAGCTTTGAATGCTTGCATGATGTAATTTCTGCATTTTGGTTAGCCAATAATGGCTTTGCTGTTTTGTGGATTCTGAATTATGTTGCATTTTGCTGCATGGTCTACATGGTTACCTATGAATATGCTTCCCAGATTTTGAAAAACCAAATTTTGCCGCAATGGGAAACACTCTTTCCTCCAATGGAGCTCTTCCTCCAACAAAGGTAAAACACTTTCATTTGGACTACAGTTTGCAAGTTTTAACTATACAGATCCTGAAAGTTTTTCCAGATGCAACAGTACAGAGGCTTCTTGAGTAATCTGATGTTCTTTGACTACAGAAGAGGCAGTCAGTCTGGCACAGTACAAAGATAACATGGATCTCAACCAAAGTTATTTTGCTGCTGCTAATGGGTTTGAAATTTTATTGCATGTCTTTCCCTGTCTTTTGTTCCTAGTTCCCTCATGACCAAGAAAGGAGTGACCTCTACCTGCATTGAGAGCTCTCAGTCTAGACCACCCTAACTGACAACAGAAGGAATACCTGAGACAAAATGTTGGTCTGTGACTCTAGCATTGTCATCTTCTGCTCCCTTTATGATTTTTAACATCTTTGCCAGACAAAGACGCCAGAAAAGCTTCAAAAGCTTGCATGATGTATTTTGTGCATTTTGGTTGGCCAATAAAGGTTTAAAGGGATCTAAAACACACTGCAGAAATAATATTATTGAGACCATTTTAACTGCCCTGGCTCAATGCTAGAGAATTCTGGGAATTGTAGTTTTGTAAGACATTTGGCATTCTCTGTCAGAGAGCTCTGGTGCCACAATAAACCACAATTCTCAGGATTCCTCAGCACTGAACCAGGACAGTTAAAGTGGTCTCAAACTGGATTATTTCTGCAGTGTGTTTTGAACCAAGAACCTGAATTCACATTGCAGGTGAGATTCTACTAATACTTCTACTACTTTCATCATAATTCAGAAATTTTATTTTTAGAGTATAGTTTCCACTGGTCCCCAGCCACTCTAACCATGTTGTATAGTGAATTCTGGGAACTACAGTTCCCAAAAACTTAATTTTTTCAAGTTCTGCCTTTAATACTAGAAAAGCAACATCTGAGGGTTCTGATTCACATCCTTCTCCAAGAGCCTCAGCATTTGCTTCAGAAGCTCTAACAAAATTATCATAAATGCAAAGCTGTTAAAAGTTTTATTTTCATCATTGTTCTTGCTCAAAGCCAGTGGTCTCTGTAAAATGCCATCTCTGTCCTGAACTGGAAATATGAATACATGAATGCTGTGCTCCCTCTCTGGTTAGATGCTCCCACTAGCTGAATCATTCTGTAAACTCTCTGCTTAGCACTAATATTTAAACCATTCTTGGCATAAGCAAACAAGTTTCACATTAAATTAAATTCCCCTCAAACACCAGCAAAATCTTAGGGTGGAGGGAACATCTAAAATTATCTTAGGCCTATTGTCAGTTTAAATCTAAAAAGTAATTACAGGTTGTGTATACTTTATCTGAAAATCTGAAATACTCCAAAATCCAAAACTTTTACAGTGCCAACACGATGGTGCGAGGCTTTGATTTTGGAATGTTTTGGATTTTGGAATACAAGTAATGTAGTACATACTGTATTTGTGGGACTGGAAAGATGCAGCTGAAAAAAGGTGCAAGGATCTGTGAAATGGCGGGAGGCATAAATTCCCACCAAGCACTATGCTTGGATTCCCACCATTTCACAAGTCTTTGCATCTTTCTCCAGCTGTATATCTTTCCAGCCTTGCATCTCTCTCACCAGTCTTGTCTCTTGTGTCTCTCTCCAGCCTTGTAAATATACGTATTACGCTACTTGTATTCCAAAACCCCCCCAAAAAATCAACTCCGAAACTCTTCTAGTCCCAAGCATTTGGGATAAGAGATAGTCAACCGGTAATTCTAACCATTTGAGATAATTATTTGTTTCAATAGTCCTTCCTACTTCTCCAACGTTACTAACCAGATTCTTGATAACTCACTGTGAATCAATCTGTACTGTGTCAGCATCCCAGTTCCACCGGGGGGGGGGGCATTTATAGTGTGTTGGACCTAATCAAAATACCTACTTTCTACCACAAACTCCTCACAAGCAGTCCCACAAAAGCATTTTTTACATATAAAAGCAAAGCAAGCAAACCTGAGTATCTTCTATGTCCAATGTCTTTACTAAACAGTGTCAGACTAATTAAGGGAGTGGGACATACTACTTTCTACGCCGGTTATAGTCGTGAGAGGTGGTCTTTGTGTTGCTATAATAATAATAGTGGAGAAGACGTTTAAACAGAGTCACGTCAGAGATGCTTATCAAGAGACAGCCATGACAATCTGTAGATATGGTGGGAAACAGGAGGTCTGCCGTGAAGTAGTTTGGAAAGAGCCCTTGTGGGATCTCAAGTATCTCCAACAAGTTCTTCATTTCATTGGTCATTGAGTGTACTTCACAAGAGAAGTGTGCTCACAATATGAGTGGATTTTACAGGTTCCACACATCCAGAGATGACAAAACTCTTGTTAATTGTGTTATTCATTTCTAATCCAATTTAAAAATGGCAGGTAGGGTATCCGATGAAACTATCAATTGCTAGGTGGGACCTGAAATTGAACAGAAGGCCACAGAAACCAGTTCTTTTAGCTGCTGCTTTGAACAAATGATATTGCCAGGGCAGAGCTCTGACACCCCCCTCCCCACATCCAATGACA